TGGGAGGGGGCACAGTGCTTACCCTCGGCTTTGCCGCTGCGGCTGTTGCACTTGAGCTCCCTGCAAAGGAAACAGAGGAGGGGATGAGCCCTCCCAGAGCAATGCCCCCCGGTGCACCCTGGGAGCTGTGGGCATGGGTTTGGGTTTGTCTCCAGCGCTGAGGCACTCTGACCCCTGGACTAAGCCCCGGCTGGCACGCGTAGGAACAAGAGATGCATGAGGGTTTGCCATGACTTGAGAGAGGAAAGCTGCCTCCTGGGCATGCCATTAGGGTGCCCGCAGCCCCTGCTCCTGCCTCCTGAGCCCGCACTCACGACTCCTGATGCCCCGATCTGTCCTGAGCTTTGCTCTGAGCTGGGGGTGCCCCGTGCTTTGCTGAGCTGGGCTTTGCACACGGTGACCACAGCCGGAGTCTGGCCTGAGGCCTCACAGCCGGCCCCATGCCGGATGCCTCTGCCATTGGCATCTCCCCCCTCGACGCCCACGCCGCCGGGGTGGAGGAGGCGTGGGGAGCCCCGCCACCGCCGGCGGAGGGCTTTGTGGGGCCATCGCCACTAGGTGTCCCCTGCGAGCCGCCGATCCGCCTCCCGGTGTTTAGCATGTGCCAAGTCCCGGCTGCCGAGCCCATGCCCCCGTGCCCACCCTGCCCAAGTTTGCGAGTGGCTCTGGTGGCGGATGGCAGAGCCCCTGTGCGCCGCCCTCCGGGCGGACAGCCGGGCGGTACCCTTCTCCCGTACGGAGCACCTGGCTTGGGGGCATGTGGGTGGTGGCGTCGAAGGAAGGAAGGAAGGAAGGAAGTTCTTTGTTCCCCAGGACGGATGGGAGCAGAGACCCCCCACCAGGCCCCGGGGTGCATGAGAGCCTGCCCTGCTCCTTCCTCTCATGCCCCAGCCTCCATGCCACCCTCCTGTGCTCACAGCCAGGGGTCGGTGCTGGGGTCTCCCAGCAGCCCGGGCTGGCAGAGAGGACCCCGCTCCCATCTCACCACTGCCCCCAGATCCATGGCATGGGAAGGGACCTGTGTGTCCATCCCAGCCCTGGACTGTGCCTTCCTCGCTGGCTGGAGTCCACGCAGCTCTGGAGGGGGGAATCGCACCATTTGCTGCGAGACAAAGCTCAGAGCAGGACCACGGGGATTTCCAGCCTCTCCCCCCTGCCTGCGCCGCACCCAAGCCCATCAACCCTTCATCACCTCCCACAGCCGCTGCCACCTGGAGAGGTGCGAACTGCTCCCATGGGGCCCGAGCGACACCCCCACCCCGGTCCCCACTTCGACCCACGGGGCCCAGCTGTTTCTGGGCTCGCTGCTTCAAGCCGGTTTGGCATGGGGAGCCCGGGGGGCTGTCTTGCACCTGCAGCCCCATGCAGAAAGCCCCACGGAGGGGTGTGCAGAGGTGGGGGGGCTCTGGCCTGGCACAGAGCACGGGCATGGCTTGCCAGGCCTCAGCCCCGCTGCCCATGCCCAGCCCAGCCCGGGCTCAGCTGCCAGCCCTGCTCCCAGCCGGCCGCTGTCTGAAGGCACCAGTCCTGGAAAATTGCTGCCGGAAGTGAGCTCAGCTCTTTGGCAGGTCCCCGGCCGTGTGCCGCGGCCCCCGGCCCCTCTGCCCTGGGGCTGGCACAGAAGCCCCCCGCCCTGCCCCGGCCCCTCGTCGTCACGGGCAGGCGCTCAGGCTCCCCTCCTCCCTCCCCCAGGACACCCGGTGCTGACGGCTGCAGTTCCCAGGCAACGCTTGGCCAGATGTGGAGTGAGAAGGGTCAGGATCCCAGGGAAAAGCACGGGCACCCGCAGGGATCAAACGCTGAGCCTGGCTGTCACTGTGTGGAGGAGGGCATGGGGGGG